ATTTTTGTTTTTAAAGAGGATATTTTTATTAAATAAGTAAGGTAAGCAAAGTAAATGCAAAGACATTTGACTGTGTGGATCATCACAAATTGTGGCTGACACTGAGAAGAATGGTAATCCCAGAGCATTTAATTGTGCTCATGCGAAATCTATACCTGGACCAGAAGGCTATTTTGAGAACAAAGCAAGGTTTAAAATTAAGAAAGGAATGTGTCAAGGTTGTATTCTTTCTCCATACTTATTCAGTCTGGATCAATAGGCAACAACATGGTGGATGGAGATTTGAAACTGTCAACATCAACTTACTTGGATCCACAATTAACACCCTTGGTACCTGCAATCAGGAAATCAAGAGATGTATTGCCCTGGGGAAGTCTGCAGTGAGGGACACATCCAAATTATTAGGCAGTAATAATATCAGTTTGAGGACTAAGGTGCATCTAATTCAGGCCCTGGTCTTCCTGACTTCATCTCACACACTTTGAGTATATTGCTAGGAAGGTCTAATCCTTGGAAAGGGACATGATCCTTCGAAGGATGAAGGGCTGGGAAAGGATAGGAAGGTTCTCCACCAGGCGGACTGTCACAGTGACTGCCACAATGAGCTCTGGTGTGTTGGGACATATGGGAAGGATAGGCTGTGGTTCATAGGATTGCTACGACTCCACAGCACCTAACAATAACAACAAGCATAGTAAATTAGATAAACAGAAAATTGTCATCATCCCTTAAATAAAAATCCCTGTGTGTATGTGTGTGGGTGAAATGCATATTGTAAACATTAATTTACAAGAGAAATAAGTTGGGTACAAAAGAATACAATATTCTAAGAGAGATAAATATAAAATACTGCATGAAAAGCCTATCTAAAAAGTTCTATTTAATGTTGTACTACTTAAATATAATTTAGCATATTACAAATGCTGTTTGCACAACTTAGTATGAATATTTAAATATGCAATCTGGAATGTTAAACTAACAGAAAAACACCAGAGAGGGAAGGAAGGTTTTAAAAGTATATAAATTTTTATCACAGATACATTCTATTAGTCACTTGGGTTCAAAATTTAACAAGTTATGCATTTCTATATTATCTAAGTAAAACCTAAACAAACTTCTGCATTCAAAAACTATAGTCTTCCAAAGACATACCTCTAGTATGCACAGATTTTTCTCTATGAGGGAAAGAGCAATGGCTGCACACTCCAGTGTTGATAGGCAACTACTAGTTGGCTGCATTCGAATTACATATTGACTAGGAACATTAGGTTTTAATTGCACCTGAAATAAAAACAAAAGAATTTAAACATTAAAATTTGCATCTAAACTCCCTTCCAAAATAGGCAGCTAAGAAATATTAAATATGCCAATATCTATATGTCTTTTTGTTACTGTTATAGTTAAATAAGAAAAAAATATAGTTAAAAATATAACTGACAAAAACCCATTTATTCACTATGTAAAACATTTATAAATTTTTTAAAAGAGTAATGCTAATTAGTTCCTTAACTTGAAGGGTATTGGTGAAGAGTTGCATGGCCTACCCAATAGCATTTGATTCAAATCCATCAGCTGCTCCATGGAGAAAGATGGACCATCTCTTCCCATACAATTTACAGCTTCTGAAAATCTGCTGGGAAGTAAGTTATGAGTTGATTCTGTCTTGACAGCACATAAAAATGATGACTCCCTTACAACAGCAAAGGACTTGAATAGATACTTCACAAAAGATTTAAGAATGCTGTGGGGGAAAAGGCACACTAAAAACTCAACTGTCTACAAACCTGCTCCAAATAATAGCGTAAAAGTGCTTCATGTTTCTAAGGCTGTAATAAATCTTGACAGGAGGGGAGCTCTGGTGGGCTAGTGGCAAGAAGCTTATCTCACCACCCAAGACTGAAAGGAAGACATTAAGCTTCAGAAGACAAAGTGAAGGAAGTGAGAAACTGCCTGTCAGAACGAGCCCTTTGAGGTGTTTGTGGGGAGACAGACCCGAAACTTCCCCCTCCATTTGAGGATCCTTGCCTCCATGGCACAAGTGTCATCCCAGGAACCAAACAGGACAAGAGTTTGGGACACAGACCCACAAGCAAGGGAAAGAATTTTTTTTAGCTTTCTCAACCAGCATGCTGAACTGCAAAAAAGACATCTGACTTGAAACTCTTCTAGACAGAAACTGCTCCGGTGGAGCATGTGGCCTCATACCACCCAGCCACTCCCTAGACAAAGGTGGACAACAGAGTCTGGGACAGGAGACTACGTTTAGGCGAAATTCCTGAAGGGCTCCTGTGAAAAACAGAGAGAAACTGAAGGGCCTTAGGAAAGGCAAATTTCCCAAAAAGGGCTTCTTGAAGAGTGAATGGCTTATCCAATAGACTGAAGGTTTTAACCTGGCAACTAATCAATAACATCAAAAAGTTAAGAATTACCTACAACTCACGCAGATACAACAGAAAAGGCCAAACACTTATCAAGAGAAACACCACAGAATGCTGAGAAAGCAGCAGGCAGCTTCAAACACTGTGTTGCTGGTCTTATAAGGTGCCCTCTGACTCATAGCAACCCTACGAACAAAACATCTGGACCCTGTTCTATCATGCTCCATCCTCACATTTCCTGACATACAAGAGCCCATTGCAGCACTGTGTCAGTCCACCTTGTTGAGGGTTTTCCTCTCCTCTGCCAACCTGCCACCCTTTTCAGCATATCCTTCTCTAAGGAATAGCCCGTACTTGCAATATGTCCAACGAATGTGAGGTGAAGTCTCATCATTCCTGCCTTCAATGGGGAACTCTGACTGCACCCTCTCCAAGACATATCTGTTTGTTCTCCTGGCCGTAAATGAGATGTTCAGTGCTCTTCTCCTACAACACAGTTCAAAGGCATCAATTCTTTTTCTGTCGTCTTTACCCATTGTCTACTTCTCAGATGCATAGAAAGTAATGAGAAAGACCATAGCCTGAATCAAGTGCACCCTAGTTCTCAAACTGACATCATTACTCCTCAATAATTTTGCAAGGTTCCTGACTGCAGATTTTCCCAGCACAGTGTGTCTCCTTATTTCCTGACTGCTGATACCAAGGGTGTTAACTGTGGATCCAAGCAAGATGAAGCTGTTGACAGTGTCAATCTCCTCTTCAACCATCATGACACTGCCTGTCCAGCGGTAAGAATCTATGTTTTCTTGATATCAAGATGTAATTCACACTGAAGGCTGCATTCCTTGACCTTCTGCAGTAAATATTTCAAATCCTCCTTACTTTTAGCAAGAAAGGTTGTATCATCTGCATAACTCAAGTTTTTGATGAGTCTCCCTCCAATCATAATTTCACACTCCTCTTCATAGAGGCCACCTTCTAAGATTAATTTGCTCAGCATATAGTCTGAATAGGGATAGAGAGAAACTACAACTCAGACACACTCCCTTGCAATTTTAAACCATGCAGTGTTTCCCTGCTCTGTTTGTACAACAGTCTCGTGATTCAGGTATAGGCTCCACAAGAGCAAAATTAAGTGCTCTGGGATTCCCATTCTTTTCTATGTCAGCTGTGACTG